TGTGTAGGATAAGTTAAATTGCATTACCTTAAGCAATATGAGTATATTTCTGTAAGCATAGATATGTTGAAATAAAGTTGTGGAAAGCAAAAAAAAAAACACATTTGTGAGACTCTTTCTTATAGGTATTAGTATCTTCATTGATTATCAAGCAACTTAGAGTTAACAGAGAAAGGCTGAATCTTCTTGCTTTGCTGTGAATCCTCATCCAGAAGTTATAGATTTCCTCTAAAGATACACATCCAATTAACTGTGATCTTAAAGTTATATTTTCAAATGTGAAATGCCCTACCTACATTATCAGCTATCACTATCATAGGTCCACAATTCTTCAGTCCATAGATACCTGGAGTTCCTAAAATGTTACTAAAGGGTAAGCATCTGGAATGCAAAAATCCAGGACCCAAAATGTTCCAAAGCCAAAATTTTGTGGGTGCCAACATGACGCCATAAGTGGAAAATTCCACAGCTGACCTCATGTGACTTTACAGGCAAAACAGGTGCCCTGAAAATGTTGCATAAAATTACCTTCAGGCTATGAATATAAGGTGCATATGAAGCATCAGTGAATTTCCTGCTTAGACTTGGGTTGCATCCCCAAGATACCTCATTAAGTTACAAATATTCCAGAATCTGAAAACACTGAAATCCGAAACACTTCTGGGTCCAAGCATTTCTGATAAGGGATACTCAAACTGTACTAAGCTTACACTTTAAAATTCTAAACTATTGGACATGTTTCCATCTAGAATCTTAAACTGCAAACTTATTTATTTCGGTGCTGCCCCATGGCAGTACGGGAAATAGAGATCATGTTTTTAGCTACTCCCTGGATGAAGAAAAATAGAAACATGGGTCTCAGATGAGTGCATCAAGCTGTCATGCTCATATTTGGGGCCAGCTGGTCACCTGTTGGCAGGACCAGCAGAGAGTCCTGGGAGTAACTCCATCCTGCCCTTCCATATCCAACGTCAAACAGACGGTCTCTGTCAGAACGTCTTCTCCCTATGCAAGCTACTTCATTAAAGAGAAAACCTCTCTGCTCAAGCGATGTTTAGCTATCGGTTTGCATTTTAATATCCAACAAATTAAAAACCAAATTAACATCCAGACAGTATCTCTCCTTTATATGTTATTTGAAAAGGTGCCACAATACACACTTCTTCTTCACAAATGCACAATGCTGAAAGGAGAAACGATAAAAATAAAAACAAGATGATTCAACATTTTTATTATCATTTCTATAATTCATTTTATCCAGAGATATTTGATTCTTAAAACACTCATCTTCTTTGTTTTTCTTCTTCATCTACTTTGGTTCTTCATTTCATTGTCAATGGACTTATCACCACCACAGGAGGAAGATGGAGAAGGAAAGGAAAGCTGGTCACCAGGATACCAGAAGTGGCAAATGCCACATAATTAGGAGCACAGTCATTTCACAAACCTGGCTGAAAATATATCAGTAACAACCCAGGTGAATGATCATCACCTGAAATTTAAAAGTACCTCTGAAGGAACTGTTTATTGCTTTGACAGCAAATAGCACAAACAGTAAACCGAAGGGACAAAACAGCCTTTAGTAGCTTGTTGGAGTGCCGAACGAGGGGTACACTGCAATGAGCCACATGTCAGACTTTCACAGCCCAATAAGAAACAGGCCTGAAGATGTAGTGTTTTCAAAGCCCAGTTTTTTCAGGTCAAAAGCAGAATGACCCTTGAGGAAGGAATAACCCACCAAGGAAAGACAGGAAACAAGTCCAGGTTCTGGTTTGAAATACAACAAATAAGAATTAAATCTGCATGTGTTGGTGGTGACTGCAGTCACACTGCTCAGCCAGTACAACACATACACCCAAGTAGGGCTTCCAGACTGGAAGAGAGATGGAAAGCTTCATTCAGCTTATGTCCCTATCCTGAAACCACCATGGATCTAATACCAATGAGTTAGAGTACAAATGTGTTACAAAGATGTTACATTGTGATATTTTTAGGTATAAAAGTGCTTTATGCTTTGAAAACTTTATCAAGAATGGTCTGCCAATTATGTGACTTTTGGTATGCTCCTTAAATATCTTAAGCTTTTTGATTTGGGGTCGGGGGAGACTGAACCCAGAGCCTTCACACTAAACTACATCCCCAACCCTTTTTATTTTTTAAGACAGGCTACTAAGTAACTAAGCTGCTGAAGATGGGCTCGTACTTGCAATCTCCCTGCCTCAGCCTGCTGGCATTACAAGTGTGCACTATCAGTCCTCGCTCATAGCCTTGATTTATCATTTTTATAATGTGGGTATTGGACTCGGAGATTTTAAAAAGTAGTATTCAACATGTGTATGTGTGTAAAAGAGCCTTGCACTCTCACTCTTCTGAGGAAACTCAAAACTTTTATTAGATTTGCAAAAGGTCCTAGGACTAAGAAAGGTGAAGAAGAATCTTGACCTGGGCGGATGATCTGTAGCAATGGAAAATGACACGAGAACATTCAGTCTTAAATTGGAACAGATAAGTTACAGGAGGATTTGCTTTGCTCTGTTTGGCTGAGAATAAGACACCCTCCTTATGTAGATGAAGATAGATAAAGGAGATGAGTTTACAGTGTGTAAAATGCAATATGATCTTTTGGCTCAAACTGCTGTGTGCCAGTAAATTAGGGATTAATGTGGTTCTGAAAATCATGCAAATTCTTTTTTTGAATTTGTGCATTAATGCTACTTGGTACTAGGGAGAGATTTGACTACGTCCTTCCAAGAGAGAGAGAGAGAGAGAGAGAGAGAGAGAGAGAGAGAGAGGGGCAGGGAGGGAGGAAGGAAGGAACGAAGGAAAAAAATAGGACCTTGCACTTGCAAGGCAGGCATAGCACCACTGAGCTAAATCCCCAGACCCAGACCCAAGCAGATTTAACAGCCAACTTCCTCCTTTAGAACCTACTCAGTTCACAGTGCAGTTTTGATTGGGGGTTGATTTCATGAATATAGCACCCCGTGAGGTCCCCACAATCTGCAACTCTCTTGGTCACTCTTACCCCATCTACCCATCCAGACCTGCCAAGAAGGAAACACCTTTCCACAGGAATGCAAGCGCTGTAAGGGAGGCACTAATACAGTGCGGTATTTTTAGCAGCACAGCGGTGCCTGTGACAAGATAGATGCCCAGCAACCATCCGTAGCATGAATGCTAATGCTTACAGTTTTCAGAATGTTTTAGGAGTCACAACCTCTCCTTTCTGAGACTGAGTTGATTCAGTGTATAGAACTTGACTGTCAATTTTTGGCTTCCTATTTTCAGGAAGTGATAAAAACTGCTGCTCCTAACAGAGAAAGCCTGGGTGGGGCTGAGACTGATGCTTCGAGGGTCTCCATCACCCATGGATCACAATCTAGCCACTAACAGGGTTCAGGTGGTTCTGGGAAGCATCCATAGGTTAATCCTGGGAAATTATGACACATTGGACCCTGTAGCAGGCAAATTTTCATCCATCCTACCGAATCACAGCCTCCACGTGACCCCAGTTTGTCTCTCCTAGTCAGAGAACTCACCCATGTACAGCAGAGCAGCAGCAATAATAACAACACTGACATTTCCATTAAAGATGGGCACTCGGGAATGAATTTGTTGAATTAAACCAATGCCATATTATCTAAACTTAGTGCCTCCTGGACAACATATAAAATTGAACTTTTAGCCAGCAAAACATTTTACTATCTAAATTCAAACACAATGAATGGCTAATGTCCCTCATATTTCACCTCTCTTCTTTAAATTCCTAAATTTTAGATCCAGCTCTATTCATATGCTTTTGCTTTATTGCTAAAATTCGAGGCCTGCAAATGGCCAATTTCTCCATATTAAATTTGGATCTATTTTAATATATGTTTTTCACCCACTTAGCAATATTTCTGAGTGAAAACTGTTGCTTGGAGAGGTCAGAAGACAGGAAAACCACTATCTCACCCCTAATTCCATTTTTTCTTTTTGTTTCTCTTCCATTTGTCTTCTTGCTCTTTTCTCTCGGAAATATTCCTGGCTGGCTTATGATCTATTTATTGCCATCAATTTGCTGTGTAGAACACTGGTATAGAACACTGATATTGAAGGATTTGAAAGAATACTTAACATACATCCAGTCTGTTATCTCATACACCAAATTTCAGTAGCCACCTGGGACACCAAATCGCCAATGAAAAAAGAGACATGACCCTGATTAGATGCACAGGTTTTGTAATTTAAGAAAAAAAAAAATACGGTGGGGATTTAGCTCAGCGGTTCCACCACCTGCCTCGTAAGTGCAAGGTCTTGAGTTCGATACTCGGCACCAAAGAACAAAAAAAAGAGACAGTGAGTCATTATATTTGCTTGCAAACCTATGCAATTTACCAAATAACTTTAATTTTTTTCCTGTTATGTGCCAAAGGTTGTAGTTTGATACACACTGTATTCTAAACATTGTTTTCATTTCTTCTCATTAAAAACAAATAGGTGTAGATCACTCCTGAGTTTAAAAGGTGCAGGTACTACATAAAATTATGGTAGAAAGACTTAAAAAGAAGAAAAATGAGCAAAAACAATCAGATGAGCAAAATCTGCTCTCAAAATTGAACTCTTTTCTAAGAGCCACAAAAGCAATACAGTACCTTGAACCTCAGGAGAGCTTTAATTAGCTTTAATTAGAAGAGTTCTTTCTTTAGCGCATGCTCAGGAGCTCTGGCACTGACAAATTAGGGCCTGGAAATTCAGCAGGGGCCTGGGTGGGTTAAGGGGGAAGGGCAGGATCTTAAAGGGGCAACAGCCATTTAAAAGAGCAATGCCTGTGGGTCCCACCATTCTTGTCATAGGCCCCCCTCAGTCTTCCATACAACCTACACCATCTGTGTTTGCTCTCTCATTTAGTAAGCCTTACACTCTCCGAGTTTGGCTATCAAGAGTAAACATGGAAGTTATTCCTGCATTCCATCTGTGTGACATGCAATTACTACAAAGTTTTTACGAATTTTACTTACGATTTGACTTTACTTCTCCATTCCTGTTTCATTCTTCTAGGTTAAGCTGTCACTGGGTCTTCTTGCGGCCATTGTAATTGTCTTGCTACTGGTGTGATACACGTTTTCCGCTTCCAAATCATCTACTGTCTAATCATCTCATTTAAGTCACATCACTCCAACTTAGAACAAGACCTCGGGTTCCCATCACCTGCAGGAAAGTGGAAAGTCTTCAGCTCCTCAGCACTGCACAAGTAGCCAAACCAACCTGTGGGCCCTTGGGTCAGACACCCCTCAGTTACAGCTTTAGTTCTCACAAAGACCTTGCGTCTGGTGCATATGTCCCAGTATAAGTGAATAAACTGAGTATCTAAAAGAGGTTTTGGCCCTCTTAACATAAAGACACTTAAAATATATACACAGCCAAATGAAATAATCCAGCTTCTACCGAACATTTTAAATTTACTAATTTAACTATATGTCACATAAAATATTAATTTTAATTATTGGTTTTTAAGTGGAGCACGTCATGATGTCAAGAAAAAAATGAAAAGTTAAAGAAATGACTCTAATTTCAAAATAGAATGAACCCCTGTCAGACATTTTATTCGGTTCAATAGCTGATGCGGAAACTGGTAGGATGGTAAAGCTGGTTCTAAAAGCATTTCAGGAAATGGGTTTTGCAGGGAAAAAGTATGTTCAATAGGATTGCTAGATTAGATACAAAATGAGTTTATATACTATAGGGAAATGAAGTAGTAGATTATTTTCCTGTTGAATAACATCATTTACATGTCTACTATTAAAAAACCCTACACACTGACCTGTAACTTCACAATATCTGAGTTTTGTTTGTTTGTTTTTTTTACTAGCAAATAGCAAAGTCAGAGGCAGGTAAATGATACTGGGATTTTGGAATGGCCTGTTAGATAATTGTTATTATTACATTGCAAAAACATATCATATCTTTTTTGCTCTCTTAATATTTTCAAGTTAAAGATAATATTTTTTAACAATGGAATTTTTTTTTTTTCTAATCAAAAAGCTTCACAAGAATCTTCCACATCTGTGCTTTGGGGATGGTGACAGTTACTACTTGAATCATCTAACAAGGTTTTCAGAATACAAGAGCTTTAAGTCCTTCCAAGTCATTTTAGACACAATGTTCTTGGAATCTTGTAGAGATTCTTATCCATTTCGCAAAGAAAACAAACAGAAAAGTATAAGCATTGTTGAAAATTGTACAGATGTGACTGTTCAGAATACAGGACGGGCCAGGGATTTAGCTCAGTGATGCCATGCTCAGTGGTGCTGCAAGTGCAAGGTCCTGAGTTCAATCCCCAGGACCAAAAAAATGAAAAAATAAATAAAATATAGGAGGAACACAAATAATAATGTGCTCTGAAGGTTCTCAAAACAGCAGAAAAGGAGGCAGTTTACAAATAGTTTTAATAATCCAACAGATGGCTAGAAAGTTAAAGTAAATGGCAAACAGCAAAAACAAAAGGAGATAGTAGAAATCATTTCAATTATATCAATCATAAGCAATATAAATGGATTTAACTCATCTGTTAAAAGGCAAAAGCTATCAAATTGGATGGAATAAAAGAAGTCCTCTTTTCATAAACATGCCTAAGAACAAAACTAAAAGGATGAAAATAAAAAGATGAAACAGTAATAAAAGATTACAGGGAAAGTAGTTATTGCAACAAAATGATTCAGCAAAATTAATATTAGGCAAAATGAAAGCAAAAAGTATTAAAAGAGAAAAAAGAGTCTTCATCATGATAAGAGGAAGGACTGAACTACCAAGAAAAAAAGAGAATTTAAAAACTAAGAAGCAACAATAATTTGGAAAATTTGGATAAATGTCTTAAAATCTGATAGATCCACTTAGGAAAGACTCAGTAATAATACAGATCACTTTAATAAAATGAACGAGTTTATAAAAGTCTTGCTTCCAATAAAAGGAAGCCATATTACTTTCAATTATGGTACATTTTTTAAAAAGCGTCCAGTTATGATGGCCCACACATGTAATTCTAGAGGCTGGAGGCTGAGGTAGGAAGATCACTCAGAGTTCAAGACCAGCCTAGGCTACAAAGTAAGTTTGAGGCAAACCTGAAGTAAACAAGGAAATCCTGTCTCATAAAAAACAAACAAACGAAACCAGAGGAGGAGAAAACAGCAGAGTGGTAATCAGCAGCAAAATTCAGCCTTTCCGAGATATGAAATCCAGACACTGGAAAACAAAGTTGGCAAAGAATAAAAGAGAAGTAGATTGCTGGGAATTAGGAAAGAGCTAACAGGAAAACTGAAAGGTACAGGCTGAAGAAATGGACCACAAAGCAGAGAAAACAAAAAATTCTGGACTCTTCCTGCCTTGTGGCTCATGGGGAGATGAGCCTGACTTCATAGAAGTAAGGTGAGGACCCAGAGCTGGAAGCTCCAAGAAGACACAGTGGTAGACTGGGCAGAATTGTGGTCTGAGGGTCCATATGCAGGCAGGCAACAGCCAGAGAGGGAACCCAGTGCCATATTGCCAGAGAATGTTTAACAGGTGCCATTCCAGGAAAGGGCTGATTATTTAAATCTAGGACTCAGAATGATCAAAAAACAACTTCACTTCAGGTTCCAGTGTTACCCACAGTGGCTGGGTGAAAGATAGCAATGGGAGACAGCCACAAACAGGGAATGGACTAGAAAGAGATCCCCTAAGAAGTCTAAGCTCAGACCAGGAAGGACACAGGCTCTGCCTTCCTAGGTGAGAAGCCAGTCCTGGCATCAAGTACTTGAACCATTGCACTGATGCCTACATCCCTCTGAGGACTGGTTGCCTTCCCTGTCTGCCAATGTGAGCAAGGACACATCTCAACAGGCACAATGCCACAGCCTAAGGTAATCGGAGGGACCTCTGGAATAAGGGGAACACATCATAAATCCACAGGCTATACGGCTAGGTAGGAAGAGACAACTGTGACCTGTTGGACTCCGAAATTGTGGATCCTGGAAAGAAACCACTCATTCAAAAATATAAAGAAAATTTTCTTTTTCCTGTTTTTGGATTCATTTCTCTTTTCATTTTTTCCCCTTTCTCTCTTTCTCCTTCACTGGTTTATGTGGTTTAGGGAATTTTCTTTTGTCCCCTTTCCTGTTTTTTCTTTCTTTATTTCCTTGCTTCTTTTTTTCTTTTCACCTTTTAATTTTTTTATTCTCCATATTATTTCTTTTTTCTTTTTATTTCCTATTTGTTCTTTCGGTTACCTTTGTCTAATTTTATAAATATCCTTCTACTCCTTTGTCTCATTTTTCTGTCCTCTTTCTCATTTTTTAGTAAGTTTTCAAATTTTTCTTCTTGAATTCTCCCATTCCCAACTCTCTATATCTTTAATAGTATAATATTAAATGTTATTAATCTTTAGATAAATTAATTCTGTGTTATTACTGTTGGATTCATTTTTATCATTAGTGCAGGTACAGTTATCACATTTGCTGTATGTCAATATTTGGTTTGTCTTAGTGTTTTAATATAATTATAGATTTCTATGTTAAGGGTGGTGCATTATTGGTTCTTATGGCATGTTAGTATCTAGTTTGTCTTGGAAGATATTGTTGCTGATTTGCTTTTTGTCAGTGAGGCATAGTTGTTCATATTAATAGGTTTTTTATGTGTGCCAATATCCAGATTATTTTTGTGTCATCAACAACACTGTGGCCCATTCCTGAAAAACTGGGTGCTGAGCCAGTTAAAATGCATCCTCTCTTCCCGAATTAACACAGGTGATCGCACTGAGACAGAGGTAAAGGACAACAGTAAGTGATAACCAGATGCATCTTCAAAAAGCAGTCCAACTATGGAGACATCCACACTGGCAACAAAGTCTTTCTACTATAAGAAACTAAAAACCTAAGCACAAAACAAAAAACTAGGGAAACATGAAAAGACAAGGCAATAAAATGCCTCCCAAAACTCCCAACTCCTCCAGAGCTGACCCATGTGTCATCCAGGTAAAAACAAAAACCACACAGCCAAATTATTTGAAAAGATAACAGAAGAGATTAAAAAGCAGATCAATAAGATGCTCAGTGGGCTCACAGAAGCTATAACAGATAATGGATGTAATAAACAAAGCAATCAGGGAGATTGCGAAGATACTGATAAAAAGCTAATTGAGCTAAACAGATGATATACAACACGAATAACCAGTTTAACAAAGAATCAGCATCCATGGAAAGATTCCTAACACAAATTCAAAAGACTGAAAATTATGTTGAAAATATGGGCAGCAGAAGTAACCAATGTGAGGACAGAATATCAGAACTAGAAGACAGGGATGTTTTCAATGACAAGGTATTCAGAAATACCTTAAATATAACAAAAGGACATGAAAAATGGATCCAACAACTGATAGATGCTGCAAAGAAGATTAACCTAAGATTAATTAGAATAAGTGAAACATCAGTGCACAGCACAAACGGCACAAAAAAACCTGTTCACAGAAATAATAGAAAACTTTCCAAATATAGGAAAAGAATTAAACATACAGATAAATGAGCATGTAGAATCCCAAATAACCTTTCCACATCACATCACAGTCAAAATCCCAGAAGTCCAACATAGGTAGAACCTTAAAAACTATCAGAGGAAAGCAAAGAATCACTTGTAAAGGAAAAATCATTAGAATTACAGGAGACTTTTCAACAAAAAAGGCCAGGAGAGCTTGGAGTGCAGTATTTCAAGCCCTAAAAGATAACAATCTTCAACACAGACTTTCATACCCTACAAAAATTTCTTTCAAAATTGATAGAGAGATAAGGCATTTCCATGAAAAAGAGCATCTCAAGAAAATGATGACCACCAAACCAGCACTACAAAAGATTCTCAAGGATATCCTAGAAAGAGACATGAAGCCAACCAGCCCAAAACTCCAATAGCTTGAATACACCAGGCAGGATGAGGAGGTAAGCAGAAAAGAGAGGGGAAAAAAACCCCCACAAAATAGAAATCAGCAACAGGAAAATAATGCAACAAGAATAAGTCAATACCTTTCAGTAGTAATTCTTAATGTGAATGGTCTCAGTTCCCTAGTCAGGAGACACGGATTGACCAAATGGATAAAGAAACAAAATTGAACAATATGCAGTATACAAGAAACATATTTAATCCAAAAAGAAAATTACAGATCAAACATCAAAGGGTGTGAAACGTATTCCATGCAAATGAAACCTGGAAAAAGCAGTCGTAACTATCTTACTTTCAGACAAAGTGGACTTCGAGGCAAAACTGATCAGAAGAGACACTGCATATTGTTTGAGGGACAATTCAACAAGAAGCAGTAACAATTATAAACATATATGCACTAAACTTTGGCAAGTCCAACTTAATAAAACAAAACACTACTGGACATTAAAAAAAAAAATCAGGTAAATACCAGTACAATTACAGTGAGAGATCTCAAAATTCCACTGTCAAAAATGGATAGATAAACTAGACCAAAAAATCAATAAAGACCAAATCTTTGAAGAAATGGATGTAATAGATAGCTTCAGAATGTTCCACCCAAAAATAGAATACACATTCTTCTCAGCACCACATAGGACTTTCTCCAAAATCGACCACATCCTCGACTATGAAGCATACTTAAGTAAATGCAAAAGAATCAAAATTATCCCATGCATATTATCTGGTCATGTGCAATGAAATCAATGGCAAAAGAAACCACAGAAATTATGCAAATAACCATAGAAATTAAACAATAACCTCTTGAATAAATCAGAAGAAATCAGACACTTCCACGAATCAAAAGATAATGCCAGTACCACATGCCAGAACTTAAAACACAGTGAAAACAGTCCTGAGAGGAAAATTTATAGCTGTGAATGTCCACATCAGAAAGGCAGAATGAGTCCAAATAAGTAGCCTAATGGAGCACTTCAAGATCCTAGAAAAACAGGAACAATCCAAATCCAAATCCAACGCTAGTAGAAGGAAATTATAAAAATCAGAACAGCAATTAATGAAATTAAAACAAAAAACAAATGAATGAACAAACAAAAAACCGCACACCAAATCAGTGAATTAAAGAGCCAGTTCTTGTACTCTCTGTGGCAGCACATATACAAAGAGCTAGTTCTTTAAAAGAGTAAGCAAAATAGAGAAAACTCTAGCCAATTTTAGAAAAAAAAAAAAAAAAAAAAAAAAACC